AGTTATGAGATAAAAAGGGAAAATGAAAGCAACACAAATAATAAGACAACTACAACAGAGAAGAAACAGAACACCCCTCAATCATGTATATGCACAATTAAGCATATATACACACATTAAACATGTAAGCAAATCTAAAATATGCACAAGTGTAGGAGAGAAATAGTCAAAAAACTGAAAAGTAATGGGGAAAAAAAAGCCCTGAGTAGTATCCATCTAGTCCAATCTAAAAGTTGAGTTCTCTAAGAATCAGAACATAGTCTTCAAAAACAGGTATATAAACAACATAAGATACCGTGGAAAAGGAACCATAATGTTTAGGTAGGCATTCTTCAAAGGGCAGATGAGGATTTTTTAACTATAGTTATCTTCCCTATTAACCAAAGTTATATATGGCTTTTTGTAGTTTGGTATTTATGATGCACACACCATGAAACGCTGTAATTTGTCTTTTGAAAGATGTAAAGCACAGGCTAATGAGGTTACAGCAATGCGTGGAGACTATGTTAGGTACAACAGCTTCATGAACTTGTTTACAAGTACTGCTGCACACTATGAGGCCTGAGGCTGTATAAGGAGCTGATACAGGCTGAAGAAGAAAGCCGCAATGCAGTCAGGACATGATGCAGATAAAGGGGCAAACAGTGGCTGAAAGCATCCAGAAGATAAATTTGTATATATATTATTATTATTTTTTTTTTTTTTTTTTTACTTTAAAGGAAAACTTAGAAATTGAAGTATAGCAAACTGAAGAATGTATCTGATTCTCTTAAAAGCGTGTGCTTTTTAGGCAACAGCATTACCTTTAGAGCTTCTGTAGCCTTACGCAGCTCTTTAATAACAGAAGACAGCGCTTCTGGGTTGATGCCTTGTTCACAAAGCCGCACACAAATAGACAGGGTCTCCATATCCAACCCAGTGTTCAATATTCTTGAAATCTCAAACAGGACTGCAAGAGAAAAAAAAAAAAAGCGAATTAATCCCTACAGTGATCAGAAGTTATTCATCAAAACTGAATTTCTCCTGTAGAGCGTGGAAGTGGCAGTCATGGAATCTCAATAGTATTTATCTTTGGTTTTCCAATGTATAAGGTAGAAGGCACAGGTTCTGAATGACTTCAATATAATGTTCTTCTAATGCAGAAAACAGTGAGTAAAAAAAATCAGTTATTAAAATGCTTGCTGATTATCTGAAAGATGGCTATAAGAATAGCTGCTTTTGAACTCCAAACACTTACTGAAAGTCCTACTTAAATGGACTAGAAGCTTTGACAGTTGTTTTCAGTTTTACAGCCCTTTCCTCCTATAGCTACACCTAGCTTTATGTCTAACATTACCAGCGGGCTGAATATAAGTAATAGTATTTGAATTGTGTTTGTTGTGAAGAATGACATGATCACGTGTCAGTATGAAACTTTTTGTTGAAGGAGATCACAGTCAGTTTTGCATTGAAACAAGTCTCCCTCTTCCAAAGCCTCTTCAGAAGGCCCCATTTACCTGGTACCCTTACAGTTTTCATTATATGCACAACACCACACCTTATCACTACTTTGTTTACAGTACTCACTACCATGAAGACTTCATTTATTGACAGCCCCAAATTAGGGGAAAGAAGCAGGTCATCCTTACCACATGAAATCAATATGGTGTCCACTTGACAGCTCTGGAAATAGCCTATGCCAGTATACCAAACACTGTAGCATGGCCTCAGAGTTGCATTTACCCAGGCCAAGCCACTGAAGGCCTAACACATCCACTCCATCCCGTGGAATTCACAGGGAAAAGCCAGATATTGTGTTAAATAAAAAAAATAAACACTGACTTCCACATAAGTACATCAATATTCATGAAGCCCCATAAGCAGATTTGATTAAGAATACACTTAAGAGAGGAAAGCAGTCTGCCAGACCACAGTACTATCTACAAGACACAAAGAAAGCTGCCCCCACCACAACACAGTATTTGACTTCCATTACCTCGAAGGTAAACTACTCCACATGGTCCATTACACTGCACACCCTGCCCTTATGGAAGACCAACACTCACAGAGCAACAACAAATTGATGCATTTGTAATAAAATGCAATTGAACATTAACTGCTCCAAAAGTGTTAAAGACTATTTAGTCTTCCCAGAAACAAAGAACTGTTATTTTTTCTACTCACTTAAAAGTTCATTATAAAATTTACTAAGCCTGATACATATCTGAAGGCAGAGAAGTACACGTGAAAAATGATAAGCTCAAGTTTCTCATGCCAGAAAGAGTTGCTCTCACTGGTCTCTGCCAGTATCTAAGTGTTGAGCCATCTTTGGTTGAGATGCAAAAGCTTCTCTAAGAAAAATTTGAGCTCTTAACAATTCTGCAGAGAATCATGACTAAATGTGTATATATGATATTCTAAATCAAATGTTTCACTTGCCTAACATTTGTTGTCTGTGTTTTTTTAAAAACTACTTCTACCAACCCATTTGCTTCCTTTATGTGCATTTCACATGCAACAACAAAACAAGCTGCAGCACAGCTTCCCTGTTCTATTCTAGGAGGTCTGAAAAACCTCATCACAGGTCTTTTTTTTTTTCCTCTCTTCATGATGAGTCTTATTCAAGGAAAAGCTAATTACATAACATAGCCATCAGCCTTTTAAACTTTCTTTTACTTCATAAAAAGAAAGCGCTTATAAGCACATTTGTCCAATAAAAATTTCAAAAAATATTTTGAACAGCAGAAAGGACCCTACAGCAATTTACTAAATATTGCAAAAGGATGAGGACTCCTTTAAGCCAAATCTTTAAGCATCAAGTGTATTTTTTTGTTTAGGTAAATGGAAATTTTACTTCAAAAAAAATTACCCAACCTCAGTAGATTAAGTTATGAGAGTGCATCCTAAATATACATATCGTTACAAAGGAAGCATGGGTTCCAAAATCTGAAAGCTAGCACACTTTTCACTGAAGTTCTTAAAGCCTTCTTTAGCCTTTAATTCTGCATGCTCTTCCCTGCCATCCTGCAGAAATGGAAAAAGGGCAGTTATAAAAGTACAGTTATAAAGCTTAGTATCACCGTCCTTCCCAAACAAATCTCTCTTCAGGCACACAGGAGCACCAACACAGCCTTAACTGGCCTGCCTTGCCTCCAAAAGCAGCTGCTTGATGAAAATACTGGGTCAAAGGCTACACAAGGTCACAAGGTCTTAGATAAAGAATACAGTCATAGCTAGAATACAAGGTAAGGATGTAAGAAGATAGCAAATATTAAGCAGTACAAGTGAATACGTGCCCCTAGTGCCTCCAGACCCTCATTAGAGCATTTCTAAAAGAAGTCTCCATACTCAACTCAATGGACTTCTCATCAACTTTCCACTCAGTCTGAAACCCATGTAAGCTTTTAGCATTCATTTCGTGCTTACTGAAGACACAATTGAAATACATCTCCCATACCTGCTGTCCTCAATTACCTATAGTTAGCTTGGGGGAGAAAGTGAACAATTGCTCTTTAGACATCCTGACTATATTTCCCACATCTCAGAAATTTAGAAATTTGCCAACACTTACAATGCCATTCTGCCACACTGTTTAACCCACAAGAACCTCAGTTTTCTTTATCAGGATCTACTCAAATTCTGTAGTAGCAACTGCTCTCCTCAGAGCTTCTTAAAGACTGAAAGAACTGGGGCTGTTCAGCCTGGAGAAGAGAAGGCTCAGGGAGACATGATAGCAGCTTGTTAGTACCTAAAAGAAGCCTGTACGAAGAGGACAGACCCATTAGCAAGGTCTGTTGAGAGAGGAAAAGGAAAAATGGTTTCAAGCTAAAAGATGGGAGATTTGGTTTTAAACTGAGGCAGGAGAGGTTTAGGTTAGATATCAGGAGGAAGCTTTTAATTCAGAGGGCAGTGACGCACTGCAACAGGTTGCCCAAGGAGGCTGTGGATGCCCCATCCCTGGAGGCACTCAAGGCTGGGCTGGATGTGGCTCTGGGCAGCCTGGTCTGGTGGTTGGTGACCCTGCACATAGCAGGGGTTGAAACTTGATGATCTCTGTGGTCCTTTTCAACCCAGGCCACTCCGTGATTTTATGATAAAAGTTGCTCTGACAGGCAGCAGACACTCCACCCCTGAGACATTCAAGGTTAGACTGGATAAAGCTCTGAACAACCTGATGGAGCTGTAGGTGTCCCTGTTTACTGTAGGGAAGTTGGACCAAATGACATTTAAAGGCCCTTTCCAACTGAAACAATTCTACAGTTCTTCACTACCACCCTTCCTCAAAGGAGAGGCACAGACTAAGTAGAGCTCTCAGCAACAGGCCCGTTACCTGAGCTAACAGGTCAACAAAGAAGCCCCAGTGGTGCTCTATGCTGCAGACAGGGACAGCCCACAGACAGAAGCACAGCTGCTACAGCCCCACAGGTTTGCCCCCCTCCACCAAATTCCCAGCTTGGGCCGCATAACGCAACTCACACTGCCAACTTCGAGCAAACCACTAAAACCAACCCCACATATCTACAAACCGCTATGCCTTATTAAGCGCTCAGCAGCAAACCGAAAAGCGTCACAAGATCCAAAAGCACCGGCGCAACGGAAAGGGCCGCACCCACAACCCCGCCCGCCTCGAGCAACGAAGGGATAGGGCAGACCCCCTCCCAGCCGCAAGCGCGCACCGTCCATCGTCTCCCGCACGGCGTTGAGGCTGGCGGCATTGCTCGCCATGGCGACCGCCAACCCGGAAGCAGACCCCGCCCCCCGCACCCTCGACCCCGCGTCATTCGGACGCTCCCGCCTACCCCCGCCACCTGACACCCCCCCCCCCCCAAACGGAACCCTCCCGCTCGGCAGCAGGAAGGGGAGAGGTGGGCTTACGTTCGAATTTGTGCAGCGGCTCTCCGAGCGATTGGTCCGTTTGTGAGCGGAGGGGAACCTACGATTGGCTCGGCGGCGGCAGCGACGCGCGTTGATTGGGCAGAATCCGGGAAGGGGCGGGAGTGGTTAAAGAGCCGCCCGGCGCGGCGGAGGCGGGCGGTTTAGATTGGAGTCGGGTATGAGCGAGCGTCGCAGCGGCGGCTCGGTAGCGGCGGTGCGGTGTTGATGCAGGTAGCGGGGCCTCGAACGGGCTGGCCGGGCCTGAGGAGCGGGGGGCGGCCGTTGGTGTGGCTGTCCCGTCGACACGCGGCTCCGGTCCTCCGCTCCCCGCTGTGTGCGCTGCTTGGTCTGCGAGGAGTGTGGGGCCTTATCGCTGCGGGGCAGCGACCCCGGCTGCTGCTGACAGCTGCTCGCCTCTGAGGCCCCACAGTGCCGCCGTTCGGTACGCGAGCTGACGGCAGGAAAGCGATTGGTTTCCTGCCCGTTTCTGTTTCAATCGCGGTTTCAGTGTCGTGTTTCCTTTGGCTTTATTTTTTAAGTTTTGTCTTTGTGCCAACCTCGTTTATGGGCTTCTCACTCGCCCAAGCCAAAAGTCTGCTTTGCCGTTATGAGTTTTCTGTCTCCTCTGAGTGATCGGTCATCTGCTGAAATGTTTAGGATGACCCTGACGAGTCAGAATGATGATTTCCTCCCTCTCATTTCCCTCTTTTACCCAGGAACAGCACGCTGCTATGGGCGATACGGAAGAAGCCCAAATGCAGATCAGCCCCGAAACTCCTGGGCGGGTCACAGTCCTGAATCCTTTCGAAAGTCCCAATGATTATTGCACCCTTCAGGAGCAGATTGTCTCCAGTCCTTCCGTCTTCAAATCAACAAAATCTTCATCTGTAAGATCTCATCTTCCGTTGTATGCAGTGCTAATACTTCGAAGCATGTAACACAGTGCATTTATTTGATGTAGAGTGTACTAACCCAAAGAACTTGAGGTGTTTTTCTGGTTCTTTCAGTTACCTCAGTATGCTTCATTTAATGCTAATACTGTAATTTAGTCTTCCCACCTTCTTGATAATGAAACTAGAAAGAGTGTTTTGCTAGACTGTTTTTCTAAATGCTACTTGCTCAGTATTTTGTACTGAAGTGTTACATAAATGAATTACACTGCTTTATTCCCAAACTGGATTTTATGAACTATGACTGACAGTGCCTCAAAGTGAGTCTCTGTGGCCTGCTTATAGGCTGTCCTGTGTCTCCCATGAAATGTAAAGTAAAAGGAAGGTTGCTATACTATCCTGGCTTGGATGATGATTAAAGTGCTTTAAGGGAGCCACGTTTTCATTGTGTCTATCGAGAAGCAACTAAACTTTATCCCATGTTTCAGATCTTTAGTGGGCCTGTCCTCAGAAATGCAGGGGGAATAACATGACACCTCGGTTAGTAATTCTTAGTAGTCTTTCACTTAATATTATCTCATAATTATTTTAATTCCACCATCAAGACAAGAAAGCCTGATTTTAGCTTCCCTTTAAAAAAAGTATTTTTAGATTAGCAAGTATTCATATGTGCATTTGTTTTTTTTAGACACCAGGAAAATTTAGATGGTCTATTGATCAGCTTGCTTTAATAAATCCTGTGGAAATTGACTCAGAAGATATCCGACGCCAAGCAATGTATTTGAGTCACGCTAGGTAACTTACCATCTGTTTTTATGCTGTTAACTTAGCTTGAATAGCAGAACACTGTTCATTTGCTTTGGTTATATTTCTCACGTCATTAAAAACCTTTCATTCCAGTTTTTCAACATACATTTTCTTGTTCCTGATGTGAATATAATATTCAGATGCGGCCACTTCTGGGTTGCTGTTTTTAGATCTTAAGAACTGCCGATCCTCTCTGATTGCAGTTTGGAGGATAGCCAGATACAGCAGTCAGCAGAAGCAAGAAAAATGCCTTGCCAATGAATGTTGTCTGGCTCTCTCTCCTGCTTCTTGTCACAACACTATTTATCTTCTTGGAGTGTACAGTTTTGGGACCTATGAAGCGTAAGTGTTTTTGGGACTCCTGCAGAATGATAGAGCTGGCGAAGGCAGTACTATTTGAAAGGTACAGACTGGAATTAATGTGAGGGAGGAAAGACCAATAATCTTGCTCTCTTTGAGGAGAAGACTAGTAGTTGCGTAAAGTAATTTGGGGATCTTTATCTCAACTTTCCTTTCTTTGAGCTTTCCTGTGGGTACAACAAATGACTGAAGTAAAACAGGCTTGCTAGTAGTCACGGATCCTGCTGAGGGATTGCATTTGACACTAACGTGGCTTATGTGACAGTTCAAGTGATGATTAGTGCTGTGGCCAGTAAACATAAACATGTTGTCTCAGTGGGTCCTTTCAGTCTGTCCCATTGCTTCATGCTTGCTGCAGTGTTTTTCAGTCTGTCTAGATGTGGTGTGGCCGTGGCTGCCTATTGCAGTGTTGTACAGACAAAGGAGGTTGTTTCTGAGTACGTGATTGAATGCATAGAGGTCTAAGCATATAAAACTGTATGGCAACTCAATGTACACAGCATAAACACTGCTTTATGGAAACTAAAGAGTGTCATAAAGACAGCTCTTGGCATTACACCTGCCAGATGAAAGAATTGACTTCTTGAAACCTGTGTTATGTTGCACAGACTGTATGCTTGATTTTAATAACGCTTGTCAACAATTGCAAATTATCACAAGCGTAAGGAATTTGGTGAATATTTTCAACAGTTAATTCTCCATTATGTAATAGAAACATTGGGTAGCAGCAGTATGAAAGCTTCAGAGTGCTTTGCAAAGTCTGAATGTGCACCATGTGTAGAATTAGATTTCTGCAATATTACTGTTTTCATGAACTGGCCATCCATGCTGTATGCCTACTGCACTGTTTTACTGTTTCTCCTTTGGAATCTGGCTTGTAGAGACACTTATTGATCATGATCCACTCTGCACAAACAGTGACTGTATGCATGTTCTTTTAGTATGATGGTGAAATTTGGGGCAAGTGTCTTCACTGAACTGTCACAGTGTCTTCAGCATCATCCAACGTAACTGAAAATAGCATTTCAGAGTATTGCACATCTGTTCAAAGTCCGATTCCCATCAAGGAGGGCTATGAGAAATTTTATGTACAGGTACCCCTGTACATGTTTGTATGGCAAATAATGTCTGTTATCTGACTGATTTCTAAAGTGATATACTCAGGGATATTAATTATGCATGAAAGTATTATGTGATTAATCTTCCTAAGATGATGAATGTTCATTGTAATCTTTTTGAAGCTTATTTAAAAATACCCTAGAAGTAAGATTTGATTGTGACAGTTAAAGGAAGTAGAAATGTAGAACGTAACACATCGTTTGGAGATGGCTGATGTAAATACAATTCTTTTTCTAAAGAAAAGTTATTATGTAATTCGGACTTTCATTTGTTATTTTTTGTAAAAGTGTTCAAGGGAATGTGTTAGCTGATTCAAATTGAAACATAATGTTTTGTTCTTGAGCTGAAGAAAATATGGCAGTGCAGTCATTTAAAAGGGGGAACTCTGCTGGGAAAATAGGCTGTCTTGGGAACTTCAGAATGCAAACATCTTAAATTCTTCTGATTTTGTAAGCCTACTTTCATGGTAACCTCACCAGTAAAAGGTATTCATCTGAACCTGAACATAACTAGATGGATTATTTTGAAAAATCAATTATTATTGACTTTTTGTTCTAATAAAAAGCTTGCTAGTGCAAGGAGTAAATAGGGCAGTGAATCTGTACTTAGGAATTGTATACATCTTTTTCAAAATCACTGAAGTAACTGAAAAGTGCTTGTCTGTTTCTAAGTTTATGATATGAATTCATTGCTTTAACTGTGAAATATTTTAAGATGGGGTTAAATTTTGTTTATCATGTTTTTCTCAAATCATGGAATCATAGAATTGCTCAGGTTGGAAAAGACCTTAAAGGTCATCGAGTCCAACCACAGCCTAACCATCCTGCCCTCACTCTAACAACCCTCTGCTAAATCATGTCCCTGAGCACCACATCCAAACAGTTTTTAAACACATCCAGGGATGCTGACTCAACCACTTCCCTGGGAGCCAATTCCAGTGCTTCACAACCCTTTCTGTAAAGAAGTGTTTCCTGATATCCAACCTAAACTTACCCTGGCACAACTTGAGGCCATTTCCCCTCACCCTGTCACCTGTCACCAGTGAGAAGAGACCAGTCCTGCTCTCACTGTAAGCACCTTTCAGTCTACAGACATGGCTGAACTTCATTATTTTTTTTCCCAATTGTGATTTTCGGTAACTTAATTAGTTTTTTGTTGGTGTTTTTCCTTAGAATTGATAAGGAGACAGAAGAGAGGAGGCAGAAAGCCATTGAGGAGGTAATAAAGCTTTCTGTGCTTAAAAATCATTGGTTTGTTTTAGCTATTTGCTTTTTAAAAAAAAAAAAAAAAAAAAAAGTTGATTTTAGAACTTCAAAATCCACAGGCCTACAGTGTTTTCCTGAGTGGTAAGAAAGTAATTTTTGCATTCTATCCCTTGCAGCAATATAGTTGGAATGCTCTTTTGTTTTTTGTTGTCTTTTACATGCCTTTAGGTGAAAATAGTATATTTTCTATCTTTTGTGTTGGTTTCCCTCCAGGAATTATTAATGTTGGGTAGTTTGTGATTCTTTTCCTGCTTTTAAAAAAAAAAAAAAAAATGTGTAGCAGAAGCTTGGTGAATTTTTCTGTCTGTTTTATGATTCTGTAAAGATGCTCTGTAGTTGGCTTATGTCTAAGATACTCACAGAATCACAGAGTCACCAAGTTTGGAAAAGACCTCCAAGATCATCCAGTGCAACTGTCCACTTATCACCAATAATTCTCCCTAAACCATGTCCCTCACTACAACATCTTAAACATTCCTTGAACACCTGCAGGGTCAGTGACTCCACCACCTCCCTGTGTGGCCCATTCCAGCGTCTGACCCCTCTTTTGGAGAAGCAGTATTTCCTAACCTACTCGACTGCTTTAAATCTGCATTTTAAAAGGATTCATTGTAAGGCACAACAGCCTGCAGCCCTGTCTCTGATGGATAACCTTCATAGCTTGGGTAGCTAGCTGCATCTTTCAAGCTCAGTTTTCTTGCTTAAGATTAGCTTCTGTTGTGAGAACAGAACTTGCCATGTGTTTCTTGAAGCTGTATAGTAGTGCTCATGTCTTCAACATCTGAGCATTCTGTGTTGTAGCTGTGACAGCAGGTATGGTTTCTAGTTTGAAAAATAAATAAATAAAAACAAAAAAACCCAAACTCTGAAGGACAGTGCTCGTACATATTTCACTGTTAGCTGGTTTATCCAAGCACATTTAAAATGTTGCCAAAAAGCCTTGGTCATCCTCTTTGTCTGTTGTTAATGCAGAATCCTTTCAGTACTTCTTCAAAATAGTCTAGTTATTAAAGGACAAAAGTTGTCAAACTGGAATTTGAGAAGAACTATGCTAAATTACTCTGCAAGGGTGGTAGTATGCAGTAAGTACCATAGAGATCACTTGCATTTTAGGATGAGTAATTAGTACTAAATGAAACTTCTGTACAGTTTCATTCTGCAGGCCTGAGAGTTCTGAGGCAGTATATGCCTTACAGAACATGAGTTGTTGTTTTTTTTTTTTTTTTTAAATCCTTGTTCTTTAACCTTGTATGGGAACTGCTGAATAAAGCCTGAACCTCTGATTGATCACCTGAGGCAAGCAATGAAGGCAATTCACCTGTGCTGCTGGAAGGGGTGGAGCCAGGCTCCACCTCTCCTAGACCCATTTAAGAGCTGACTACCAGGGGGGAAGGATCTCTTCTGGAGATTCCCTCCTCTGGAGTTTTGCAGTGAGTCCAGGATGTGGGTGAACTTTATATCTATTTTCTGTTTATTATTGTAACCTGATTAGCCAAACTCTTGTGTTTATTTAATAATTATAACATCTTTATATTCATTGATTACACAAATCTTTATAGACCTGAAATAATGAAATTATTTCAGATATAAGAGAAAACTGCCTTATGGGTTTTGGGGAGGGCAGAGTTAAAATTCATAAGTATAGGTTTGTGAGTAGTAAAAGATATGCCTTATTTTTTTCTTATTCAAAATACTAATCTAAATGTAAGTTTAGAGTTCATAATTCTTAAAAATGTTACTATGTTTTTTCTGATCTAGTTTTTCACAAAGAGTCTCATAGTTCCTTCTCCTTGGACTGAACATGAAGGCAAGCAAGTTTCACAGTTTAATTCAACAAAATGTAAGTAGCTTTCATCTGTCTGCTCAAAGTCCAGCATTGGGAATAATTATCTTTTTTTTTTTTTTTCTCCAATCTCAGTTTAAATTTCCAAAAGCACTGCTGAGAGATGACACAACTGATGGGATTTCTAGCAGTCCTCTTCAAGTGCTTTATTATTTTGAATATCATTTATTAACCCAGAATCTTACTTGTTTTCTTCAGATTTGCTTTTTGAGATCCTGTTCTTAATGCTTTGTTTCCTGTCCTAACCTTTCTTCAGCCAGCTTCAGACAGACATAATGTTGCTGAGACAATATTGAGAATAGACAGCTCTTCTGTCTCATTTTTTATTTTTTTTTATCTCCAATATCTGCATGTAATGATAGAATGGCCTGGGTTGAAAAGGAACATAATGATCATCGAGTTTCAATCCCCCTGCTATGTGCAGGATTGCCAACCACCAGAGCAGGCTGCCCAGAGCCACATCCAGCCTGGCCTTGAACACCTCCAGGGATGGGGCATCCACAACCTCCTTGGGCAACCTGTTGTAGTGTGTCACCACCCTCCATGTGAAGGACCTCCTCCTAATATCTAACCGAAATCTCCCCTGTCTCAGTTTAAAACCATTCCCCCTTGTCCTATCACTGTTCACCCTTGTGAACAGCTATACCCCTTCCTGTTTATATGCTCCCTTCAAGTATTGGAAGGCCACAATGAGGTCTCCCCAGAGCCTTCTCTTCTCCAAGCTAAACAAGCCCAGTTCCCTCAACCTTTCTCATAGGAGAGGTGTTGCAGCCCTCTGATCATCTTAGTGGCCCTCCTCTGGACCTGCTCCAAGAACTCCACATCCTTCCTGTAGTGGGGGCCCCAGGCCTGGATGCAGTACTCCAGATGGGGCCTGACATGAGTGGAGTAGGGGGGGACAATCACCTTCCTCTCCCTGCTGGCCACCCCTTTTTTAATGCATCCCAGAACACAGATGGCCTTCTGGGCTGCAAGCTCACACTGCTGGTTCCTGCAGCTTCTTGTCCACCAGGACCCCCAAGTCCTTCTCTGCAGGGCTGCTCTCAAGGAGATCTTCCCCAGCTTGTATAAATAACTGGGATTGCCCTGACCCAAGTGCAGCACCCTGCACTTGGCCTGTAGAACCTCATTAGGTTTTCATTGGCCCTTTTCTCCAGCCTGTCCAGGTCCCTCTGGATGGCTTCCCGTCCCTCCAATATATCAACTGCACCGCTCAGCTTGGTGTCATCCACAAACTTGCTGAGGGTGCACTTGATGTCATCATCTGCGTCATTGATTAAGGTGTGGAAGAGCACTGGTCCCAAGACCAACCCCTGAGGGACACCGCTTGTGATCAGCCTCCACCCTGGCAGAACCGTTGATCACAACCCTTTGGCTGTGCCCAGCCAGCCAATTCCTCATCCATCGAACAGTCCATCCTTCAAATCCACAGCTCTCCATTTTAGAGAGAAGGATGTGGTGAGGGACCATGTCAAAAGCTTTGCAGAAGTCCAGGTGGATGACATCCACCAGCTTTCTCCCATCCACCAAAGCCATCACTCCGTCACAGATGGCCACCAGACTGGTCAGGCATGATCTGCCCTTGGTGAAGCCATGCTGGCTGTCTTGGATCACCTCTTTATCTCATATGTGCCTTAACACAGCTTCTATTAGGATCTGCTTCATGATCCTCCCAAGGCACAGAGGTGAGATTCACTGGCCTGTAGTTCCCCTGGTCATCCATCATCTCTCATATTCTGTCTGCTTTCCCATCGGTATAAATACATGGGAACAGAGTTCCATTTCTTTCTAGCTTTATTTGACATGTTAATTCCTGTTGTCCTCTTGGTGCTCTGCTTTCTCACTGTTTGTGTATGTAGTATTCTAGGTTTTACTAAACTTATTCAATTTATGCTGTTACTTGGTTTTAATGTTAATGTAGATATAACCAGTAGATTGTGAACAAATGAGAAGCTGGACAAGTGTTGGCTATGAAGTACTATTTGACAGAAAATCCTTTTTTTTTTTTTTTTTTTTTTTTTTTTTTTTGCAAGTTTTGACTAAGGGTAAACTGTTAGGGTATTTTGTGAAGTCTACACAACTTCTGAATGGTGTATTTTTAATTGTGAGTTTTCAAGTAACCAATTACTGATTAAAGGACATAGAGCACAATCCTAAACCTAGGAAAGTGAGTGGTAAAACAATGTTTGAATGTTCTTAGCTGTATACACAGGATGGAGTGGTAGATTGTTCATTTTTGTCTTCAAGTCCAGACTACATGATTTTCTGCAGATGTGTTTGTGTGAAAACAGCCCATCCAAGGTAGAGGAGTGGACAAAGTTTTGGGCAAGGTTGATGTTCCTTCACAAAGCTTCTAGAAAGGTGCTGGAATTCTGTTATCAGCTATAATTCCAACTTTTCTTAAGCATTCCCTTTCTATGTTCTCCCAAGCTTTAATCCAACTACACAAACTACAGAACTGCTTCTGTATCAAGTACACTAACTTAATGCTGCTATGTTTCAAAGCTGTATGCAATTCATGCTTACATTTCTTACCTGTCTTACAGCCATAGATCTAAATAACATTTCTCCAATTGGAAGACAGCTAACTTTGCCTGGGAAAACCAATGGTGAGTAAAAAGTGTTGCCTGATTGCAGGTTTTCTTTGAAGTGTAATGACCTCTTTTTTTAGGACTACTTAAATTGAAAAGGGGGAGTCAGTTTTTTTTGTTAGTATTCATGTGGAAATAACTATTCTTGAACTGTATATTACTACTGACTTTTATGTTTCCCATAGTAATTTAATTGTCGTATAGGTATATTGTTTCCAGAAGTTTAAAAAAAAAAAAAAAAAAATCCTCTGTAGAATGCATTTTTTCCCAAGTCCAAATATATATGCTATATTCTGAGTTAAAAATATTGAATATAAGCTTTGGGTTTATGGGGAAATTACAGTTTTGAGAAGTCTTTAATGTGTTGAATTGTTTTGAGTAACAGAATCTTGGTTATTCTCTCTGCCAAATAAGTAGTTTAAAAGATGTCTTAAGATTTCTGCTATTTTAGATAAGCAGTTTTTTCTCCAGGGTATTTTGATCTTTCTCCCAGTTCATTTTCAATTCTGCCTTTTATCAGAGTTCTTTTTTCAGTTAAGCATCTCTCTCTGGAGGCCTCTATGCTGCAGCCCTCTATTTTATCTCTAGGCCTGAACATGCTGTGTATAGCGTTGACAAATCAGAATCCTAGCCTTAATTAACAGTTTTCCTTATTGCAACTGTAACTTCTAAATAGCTCTATCACAGTGCAATTTAAAAGCAAATTTTTGTTTCTTTGGTTTTACTGAAAGTTCACTGTAAGCTAATTTTGTTGTTTTTATTCATTGTAGCTGCTTGTCAAACAGTACTGTCTTTGCCAGTAGATTTTAATTTAGAGAAAATCTTAGGTACGTATGTGTTACAATTTCTAAACTTAATTATAGATATCTAAACAGATGTGTTTCTGTCTTGTTTTTGCTTAATGTATGAATGAGAATTTTAAGGGAATGTTAAGTGGTTTTTAAAAGTAGTCAGTTACTGCATATTGCATGGGATACCTAAGGAAGCTCACAGATTAGAGCGTAGGCATAAAGGTGAGATTGGAGTGATATGGAGGTCAATTGGGAATACAGTAAAAACATCAAATACAAGAAAGTTACCAAGCAGAAAAACTTTTTTCCACGTTCAAGTAGGGGTTACTTATCTTTGCAGAGCTGATTTACGCACAGCTCGCTGTCAGTGAGGCGCCTAGCCTGGCCTTGAGCAAATCTATGCTGTAATTCTGTGCCTTTCAGTATGTCCATGGAGGTGACTAGAAATTACGTGGTGGCAAAAATGCCCTGATCCCTGAGGAGAGATGGAGACTAGACCAAAATTAACAGACAGGTTATAACTATTATCTCAAGCAATTGCTGTTGGATTCTCAGGCAGGAAAGAGGACAGGAAAGCCCTGTGCTTACAGTTTGTGTATGTGAATAGGCAGTTCAGAGGCGTTTGGCTGCATGCTTCTCTCCCAATACTGAAGTTCACCACCCTGACTGTGCCAGTTAAGTTGAGGTTGTGTTACAAACTTAACAGAACTATACAAACAACTTTAGTGTTAGACCTTGACAAATGCTTCCATCAGTGAGTAGATTATTAATTCATGACAACTTCTCTTACAAGATAAAGAACAATCAGAATAGAGCAAGATACTTGAATGACTTTTGTTGATATGATTTTCTATTGTAAACTATAACTGCTTTAACTTCAGGTTGAGTCTGTGACCATCAAAGCACATGAGAGACTTGAAAAAGAGTCTTGTCTTACCTATACAATATAACAACCTATTCTTCCAAGTTAAAGCATTAAGGATGATAGTCAGAAATGGAACTATGGTAGACAGTGGATTTGTTGTATGGTAACAAGTCTTCATTTGGAAGAGGTCCCTAGATTTAATTTCTTGCTGTATTGGTAAATTGAATTGTATGTTTTACTTTTGCAATGTATGCCTCCATAGTGGAAGGTTTTTTTTCTTCCATTCTTGTTGGAAACAACTGCCTTCCCTTCATTTCTAGGCGAATATTTTAGAACTGATGAATTAGCAGATCAGTCTCAGGAAAATCTGAGCTCTTCATCACTCCGAAGAAAGCTTTTTTTGGAAGAAAATGGAAACATATCTGAATGTTTGACCCCTTCTCTGCATAATCCATGCAGTAGTCAGCCACTTGGAGTGCTTTGCTCAATAGATATATCTCCAGTTCGGTGCAGAAGCCCCCTGGAAACATCTAGTTCAGTAAGTAGCCAGATGGGGGATGGGTGGGAGGTGACTTTATTGGCACAAACTCTTTACAGCAGCCTGTACCAATTCTATTTTCTGACAAACTCAAGACAATCATATTTCTGTAGTAAGCTTTATAGGAGATTAGGTATCAGGCCAATGTTTTTTAATTACGTTTTCAGAACAATTTATATGAGCGACAATTTTGAGAGAATGCAACTAATTTTTAATTCTAAAAAAGATGTGATGCTGTGCTGCTATTCTCTATTGGAGGGATTATGTTTTAACTTCCTTCTGCTATGGAAATTACGTTGGATTTGGTATATAAACTACTGAACTGCTTGTTCATAAAATATGTTTACATGGAAAAAATACCTATTTAAATCAGTGAACTGTCTAAAATATTAACTGATATGAGCAGGGATATAATTACATCCCTTGTATCTCATAAACATTTGTGGTGGAAGAAATAACTTGTCATATGAATAGGTCTCTGAATGCAGAAAGATATGCTCTTTTCCCCTCTCCATTGACCAGTGAATTCAGATGAACAGATAAATATTAGAACACAAAACATAATGTCTGTTTCTTAAATTAAGTGAGGTGAATCCTACACTGACGTAACCATAGCACAGCTAAGCCGTTTCAGGTGGTGTGGCTTCATCTGTTTGGAAACTGAAGTGTGTGGGAGAAAAACACAGTCCTAACAAGGGTATGGCTCAAAAGTAGTCTGTATTAGAGAAAACTGGTAATGTATTCCTACAACACAGTTAGGCTGTTTGGAGATTTTTTTTTTGCACCACACTCTCTTAAGCAAGGTCTCTCTTTTTTCTTTTTTTTTTTTTTTTTCCTTCTTGAGGAAAACTTTATCTGCTTGTGCAATAAGTAATTCAAATTGATTCCGTTAAATATAAATAGTGGTCAGCTTTCATCTATCATGGTACGAGTAAGATGTAATTGACTATGCAAAGAATTAAGTACTGTTTAGGCTGTTCATTAGTAACATCCACTGTATTTACAAACTATCTTAGTTGATGTAATGTGACAATTTATTTGGTATAAAGTGAAAAGTGCAACTGGAGTATCTAAGTCAAGCTAATGGTAGACAGATTGTCTTCTTATAAGATTAGATTTCCTCAGTACTGCCAGAGTAAGTTTTCAAGTTAGAGAGCTTGTTATGCATGTTAGTCTAAGGCTACATAATGAAGATATACTTTTTTTTTTTTGCTATTGAAGGGTCAGTTTTCATCCAGCCCTATCCAGGGAGGAGCAAGGACTTACAGTCTGGGAAGTATTACCAGTCCCTCATTTCCAGAAGGCTCTCCTGCACGTAATGGTTCTCCTACTTTTTCACCTATTGCTTTTCATATAAGACATACACCGCTGTCAGGTATGGTTTTCTTGTATATGTATTATTCTTTCTTGATTTACATAATTTGATTATTAAAGCAGTTCTGCTCAGGAACTTGTTTCTGTTCAGAGTCAGAAAGGCATGCAGCTTGGCACACCTGCAGTCTCCTTCTGTATGGCACACTTACTTTCTGGCAGTGAAATACCTTAATTGTGTGAAACAATTGTTTTTTGTAAGCAGATACATTTCCCTAAAGAAAATTATTTGAAAAGAGGAATAGAGACCTAATGAACAAAATGTAAGGGATTGATTTAATGTAAAGAGGGGGTTTAAACCTGAACTAAGTCAAGTCACAGTTTTTATTTGGCCCAAACCAAAGCACTTTAATTGGAAAATGTTTAGCTTTAGTTATCGAGTCATGGCAATCAAGATTATTTAAAATTATTTTTTTAGTGAAGAAACAACAGCTGTTGGTATTGTTGCTCTAGAAAATCATGCAGTCATAGAATGGCATGGGTTGGAAGGGAACTCAAGGATTGTCAAGTTCCAACCCATGCCATAAAGCTGCTCTCAAGGAGATCTCCTTCCAGTCTGCACATATGGGATCACTCTGACCCAAGCACAAAACTTTGCAATTTGCTTTGTTGAACCTCACTAGGTTCACTTGGGCCCACCTTTTGAGTTTCTCGAGGTCTCTCTGGATGGCACTCCTTCCTTCTGCCCTATTATCTGCCCCACTCATCTTTCATCCATTATTTAGAGAGACTTAGGCCATGTTTATGCATGATTTTGCTTTCAGCCTTGTAATATTTCTGTACAGTTTGTTATATATAGGGATTGCATTGGTGTTTTCTCATTTTTTTTTTTCTTGACAATTTTATTACTACTTAAATTTATTTTACATGCCTGTAGAACATGTACATTTACATTCATTAATTCTGAAAAAGCCACAGAATCAACCTGCACACACAGTACTGTCAACAGAATAGAGCATCACTGTTTGAAAATGCAAAATACACAACAGGAAACAAAACGGCGATAAAACTTGGATTTAAGAAGTTTCCTTTATCATGATTGTTTTTGACGGCCTTGGAGCAAGGAAGCAGTGCTCTGTGAAATACTGTGAAGCTGTCTATAATTATTGTAAGGAGAATAAGGCTTTGAGAACTATAACTTGTAAGTCCATCTGATGCAATAACATTGTTTTTGGGTGTTTTTTTTTTTTTTTACTGTTCACAGACCAAAGAAAACTTGCATTTTGTTCTCCAGATATTCCTTCTGTCTCAAATAGAATGACACCTGCAAATACAAGAAGTCCTTATATAGATGGTTGTTCTCCAATTAAAAACTGTTCTCCAATGAGGCTTGGAGGGTGTAGAGGAACTGCCCAGTACCAAACTTCTGTCATTAGAATACCATTTGCTGTTGAAAATCACGATGAGGATGAGGACAAGGAAAATGCTTCTCCGGCAGAAGCGCGGTTCCCAGAAGTGGAAAATGGAATCAACTTCTGTCAGCAAGACGGCGACACCTTTGCACCTGGTACACATCTCGTCGTTGCAACGGTGTCTATCACACCAGATCATTCGGAAGCTTGTCATCAAAGGTTGTCATCCTATCAGGATATAGAAGGCTTGAAGGAAAATAATACTGTAGATATGGCTGATGCAGCTGAAGTGTCCGAAAACACTTGGATAAAAGAAACAATTGGCAGTAGCAGTGCACCAATGACCAGCTTTATGACAGGGATTACTTTCAGTATTGAAAACTCTCGCATGTGCATGTCACCTCTTGCAGAAAGTAGTGCAATTCCGTGTGACAACAGTAGTATTCAGGTAAAAAAGTTTGCTTCTCTGTAAAACTGACCTCAATGTAATGTTCAGAACATCTTCCATTCACTTGCATATTTTTTTCACACCAAATGAACGTGGTATGGATTAAGTTGTGTTAATCAGATGCAAATTACATCTGTTATAAAATCTGTGGGGTTTTGTTGGTGGTAAATTGGAGTACAGTTTTAAAATCTGCTTCTTGATTTCAGGTGGACAGTGGCTATAATACCCAGACGTGTGGGAGCAGCATCATGGATACTGCAGGAGCTGAAAACAGTTGCAGAGAAAATGATGTGAACACTAACACACTTCAGACTAAACCTCAACTTCCTAAGACAAAGGTAGGAGTTCACTCACACAGAAGTGATTTCCTTTGCGTGTAATGCACCCATTCCTTACTTTGTTGTTTCAAGGAGCCTGAGAGAAAAGTGTCTCAGGGAATTAAGTGTGGGGAAAAGGGGGGGAACACAACCAAACAAAACAAGAACACCTGAAGAACAGCAAAAGCCCCAGCATAGTAATATAGCATCATTACAAGAACTATGTTGAAAACAAGTAGGACAAATACTGTAATAAAATACAAGGCAATAAAATTAACATATTCTATGACAAAGTCAAAAGAAGTTACAGAGGAAACTGAGGTATATGCACAAATGTAGGCTGTGAGGCTGCTTATGGCTTATGATGCACTGTGCATTGAAGTCTCCTTTACTTTTGCTTCTGTTCTTGCTACTTTTTTTTTTTCTTCCATTGCCAGTTTTTAAAACTTGTGTTTAAATGTGTGCCTTACAAGCCAAGTAATGGCTCACCTTTCTTATTACAAAGAAGGAAAAAAAAGACTAGCAATGCTCCTGAACTCTTAATCTTGTGATCTCTTGTGATCAGTGGGAAGTTCTTCCAGAGACTGGGAAGCAAGGCTGTTTTCTTTGCAGGAAAAAGCAAAGATCATCTCCTCATACTTAGTAACTATGGTCTTATGAATTTAGCTCATGGTCAAGTGCTTGGTATGATTTATGGTCTTTGATGGAAGGGGAGACCAGTGATAGTGTAGTGACTAGTCATAAAAATACTCAAGCCTATTTAGCCTGTATCTATGCACTGATAGCTGCTGCTTTGCCATGGTAGAGAGTGGACTGATGGAGTCTCACAGATCAATTACATTAAATTTTGATCAGCTCAGATTTGGATAACCGTGCCCATACAGGAAGAACAGATGAATTTTTTAAAGTCAAAAATCTAAAAATACCTGCTAGCTCTGAGGTCTTATCCTAATCATCCTATTGGGTATAAATTGTGTGTGAATATATCCTTCAAAAACAACTTCTTCTGTGAAACCTGCTGTACAGAATCAGTGTACCATGCAACTGGCTTCTCCCATTGCTACTCTCAACATTTTTTTTATCCTGATTAAGCCCAACTTTGCACTTTGAATTAGAATTAATTTTTAATGGCATTAAGTGCTTGATTCAAATCTCAAAACGGAGAACCCACAGAGAATGGAAGGAAACAAAGCAGCACATGGCAGTCACTGGCTGAAATACTTCAGTCTGGCTCACTCACAGCACGTGGTCTAAAGAAGTTCTTGCTGGCAGTATATCTCAAAGACTTCTCCAGAGAGAACAATCTTCCTTTCTCCTTCTCAAAATGGAGAAGGTGGGAGGCTAAGGTACTGAGTTTGGAATGTAGAATCACAATGTTGGAAAGGACCACATAAGATCATCTAGTCCAACTGTCAAACTGTATTGTTTAGTCCAGTCGTTACGAACTGTAACTTGACATTTTCAGATAGTAAGCTTGGATATTGATTTTTGGGGGGGGGATTTTTTTTTTTTGTGAAAATGGTTTTAAAGTAAACTTTTTCCTTATGAACCTTAGGAGTGTTCTGTTTTAAACCACAAAGACAATCAGTTGCTGGGAGCAAAATCTCCAGAGAAGCAGTCCTGTTTCCATAAAGTGAAAATGCATCATGCAGTATTTTGTCAAAGTGCGAGCTGTAACGTTTCTACCTGGAAACATAAAAATGAAAATCAAATTCAGGGGTTTCACACGAGTGGTATGTAGTTCTGATGGAGAACTTGAATTGTGTTATCCAATAAATGTTTATATATGTGACCCCATTTGCCTGGATTGTACAAACTGTCTTGTTTTTCCTGATGGAAACATAAGTTGATTAATATGTGGGGAGTTTTTAACAAATGTGATTTTTTTGGAGATTTTTAATAAAACTTATTGGTACTATTAAGTGATTGTTTTGAAAATCAAGGAAGTTGAACTCTGTACAAATCATTGAGGTTTTTTCCTACCCATTACCACTCTGCAGAGGCTTGTTGTTTTCAAAGTCTGGGTATAACTTCAGCTTTAAGAAGGAGCTGCAAAATGTGCACAACTCCTACAGACCTGAGGGAAGTTTCTCTTTGGGAGAGAAAGTAAGCAGTGTTAGTCTTGATTTGAATTGCTTTCTTCCTTGGCAGATTTGTGTGGCTTGGTACCAAGAACACAGATAGAGATTAAGTGGAAATGTGATGGGAGTAGGGCTAGGGAAACAGGAATGGGATTGGAGTCTCGATCTAAAAAGAAATTAAACTCAGCTGTGACTTTCATTAGCAACATGTGTGTTTTACAACAGATTGCAAACCATTTAAAATGGGTGCTTTTGATTTTAATGATGCCCCGTTAGTCCTTCACATATTTTCCTTGTGAACAGCTGCATGAAAACTCCATTACAATTATGGAAATAATGTATCTTTTTTTCCATAGTTAAATCTTAATTGCTTCTAGTGATAAGATGAGCTTTGTGTCTAAAGAATCCTTTCCATTCTTTGAGCAGGCTTTCTCTTGGTTTGACAGAAATCAAGAAAAAGGATAAGTGGCAGAAATTCCTTTACAGGAAAACAGAATCCCTTCCTTTCAGTCAAACAACTTATTAAGGAAAGTGTGCATCCATCCGTTACCTGTACCAAATGCTTAACTAAGATGTACTACTCAGTACTTCCAATTAAATGATTGTGTTACTTCAGAGTTGCATTACTACTGATGTTGAAGATGATTACCAGGCTAGCTAATGTCTAGTAAGAACACTTGTGTCCAAACTGATGCTCCTAGCATCCTTTCAAAGGAACAAAGAAGGTGCATAAGATTAAGTGGTCTTAGGATGTCCTTAATGGAATGGTGCAGCCTTTCTTGTATTGCAGTAGACAACTGTAGTTTTACTTTCCCCTTATTTGTTTCCCAATTGTACTGCCTGCTGCAGAAATGACCAAAATATTTAGGTAAGTATTTTGACATGTAATTTCGATATGCCAATTTCTGCCAAAACTATTAGTTTTTAAAAATCTCATGATATCTTCAATGGAAAAAAAGCCACTACTGAACAGCGGGAATAGAATGAGGAAGTCTGGAAGCTGAGAATTCCTTTTGCATTATCAAATGAGATTTAGTTAAATTGGATTGTATTTGCTTAAAAGGTTATTTTCAAATTAATTTCTTGTGAAGTATGGCATTCTTCCAGCCCTGCTGACTAAAAAGGAGATTGAAAGGGAAATACTGTAAGGGAAATACTGAAATGTCTGCATGTGTAGAGCTCTGAAGTAAACCTTTGTGGATTATTTAGAATATGTTCCAGTGGTTGCTCCAGCTGAAGTAGTGCTTGTTTCTTCTAGTAGCAAGGATAACCAATTCCAGGCTGCTGCATGGAAATATGCTTCCAATTCTGAGCAGCAGCTCCCAGAAGGGCCTGTCTCAAAGTGACAAATGCACGCTATTGGCACACTGAGCCTGAAATAGTTGGTCATGTCTAAATGTCAAGGGGACTGGAAAACATGTTAAAAATTTGCAATATGAACAGAATTGCATAGCATTACAAAGCAATGGATTAGAATTGGGACTTCTGTGCAGCCGCTGTATGAATGGAACAATTCCTGAAAAACTTTGATCAATGATTTTACCATAAAGAGTTGCTGAAAAAAATACACTTAAAAGAGAAACTTCTATCAATTAAACAGTATTTGGTTTTAGTTCTCACATTTCATAATCAATACGTCTAATTAAAAAATAAAAACCTTCAGGTTTCTAACCAGTGAACACAACACACAAATTGTTACAGAAGTAAAAAAAATAAAAAATAAAAAATAAAAAAAAATTCAGTACTACATACCTAGCAATAACTTGAACCTAATGTCCTGAGTGCACTGCTTGATAAACTTGAAGCAGTGCCCTGCTAAAAGGTGAACTGCACTGAATGATTACTTATAGAGGATTTTTTTCTTTTTAATAAAAATTAATTTGGACATTTGGGAAATTGCATGTTTAGTGGGGCATCTGAAATGAGCCTCAGATGATAAGGTTTGAAGCTCAAAGACTAGACAACTTATTGTCAACTTAAAATATATTTATTATCTTGTCTTTTCTGTTTCTAATGATGATTTTTAAGAATGAGTTGGAGTGCTGAATTGTAGATTTTTGGAATGTGCAAAGGATTTATTTTTTTAAGTCTGATCACCAAAAAATAATAGTATAGTGAGTATAGGTAAGAAGCAGGGCTGTCCATATCGTAATCATTTATGAACTGTATAGTATGTATGATTAAGACTTGTTTTCTTTTAATTAAAACTTGTGATTCTTTGTAATGCTGTGTTCTATTACCAGAGGTTTTTAAAGTAACTGCAGATTAAAACAGACACAAAAATAAAAGCAATCCCTAAGATGCTTGATTGTACCACATCCAAGTATTTCCTTAAATGCAAGGGGAAGATAACACCAGAAATGGTTGTACATGTGAAATAAGACATTCCTTTACCCCAGTGAAATGTTATCTTCTGTCTTGTTTCAGACTTCAGTCTGAAATCCAGATTTTATGAAAACTTGCAAATATGCTTTGTATAATTGTTTTGTGGAAGAAACCTACAGTACAGATTACCATGGAAATCATTCTGTTTTTGTAGTTGTACTTCCTGCGTTGTTTGGCACATGTTGCACAAAACAGTCCTTGTTTACATTAAATAGCTTTTAAAAAAGAGTCTTATAACATGAATAGTTGTAAATTGAGTAGTAAAACAGAATAAAGACTTGTCTTCAATAGCTCACTTGTTTAGTGCTTTGGTATAGCCTGCAGCATTGTTTGGGAAGGGGGCGCTGGGGAACAGTGGAAAGAGGTCAGGCAAGGAGGCTGGCAAGCAAAGATAGGTGATCTAACATCTAACATAAATATATACATTTCAAAACTAATTTGAGTTACTATAATACATGGTCCTGCAGCCAAAGTGCAGAATCAGTTATAGATCCAATATGCTGTGTGTTTCTTGGAACTAGCCTTTCCTTGTAAGATAGCCAGAACAGTCTTTCAGAATAGTGGTGATGGGATTACAACAGTCATGTAATGTGCTGTTTTTCTATTACAATCAGTTAATTGTTATAATCGTCTCCTTCTGAAGTCTTTATCAAGATGGGCTTTAAATTTGATGAAATCCTCTGTAATGACAGCATTCAGGAAACTGAGTGAATAGTGCCAAGTGACAGCTAATTAAGAAAACTACTGAAGAGTGATTGACTTCAGCAGCTCATGAGTTAAGATCCTGGAGGAAAGCTATAGCATGTGGGATTGCAATTTCTTGACTCATGAGCTAGGAATGGGCATTGGTAGAACAAGTCTGTGTTGAAGCTAGAAGGAAAGCTACTATAATCCCAGGTACTCTGGAGGATAGCTCAACTGAAATAAACTTGGAGAATTTGATAGCTACTACATTCGATAGCTTGAGCTTTCCTTAGTTGCTGTGGTGGGAGTTCTGCACTGAGTCTGGGTATGTACCTGTTAAGATTACTTTGGTTCACTACTGGCAGCACTTATGTGTCTCACGACTACAAAGATAGGTGATCTAACATGACTTCAGGTTTTTGGAAAACTGCCAGTGTGCCAGTACTGTGGCAGTGCAAGCTAGATTGCACAGTGATAGATCACTACCTTGTGGATTTCTGTATAATAGTTAAAAGGATGGAAACAACTATATTTAAGGCAGTTTGTCTGAGGGAAGCAGTGATCATAAAATCATTAAGGTTGGAAAAGACCTCCAAGATAATTTAGTCCAACTGTCTCTGTACCACCAGTACTGCCTGTTAAACCATGTCCCTATAGACTACATCTGCTCTCCTTAAACACTTCCAGGGACAGTGACTCCATCACCTCCCTGGACAGCCCATTCCAATGCCTGACCTCTCCTGAGAAGAAATTCTTCCTAATATCCAACCTGATCGTCCCCTGGTGCACCTTGAGGCCATGCATTCCAGTCCTATCTCTAGTTACACATTAGAAGGGGCTGACCCCCACCTCACCACAACCTCCCTTCAGGGAGTTGTAGAGAGCAATAATGTCTCACCTGAGCCTCCTCTTCTCCAGACGAAACAAATCCGGCTCCCTCAGCCACTCTTCATAAGGCCTGTGCTCTCCAGACAGAGAGAAGGATGTGGTGAGGGACCATGTCAAATGCCTTGCAGAAGTCCAGGTAGATGACATCCACCAGGTTTCCTCCATCCACCAAAGCCATCACTCCGTCACAGATGGCCACCAGATTGGTCAGGCATGATCTGCCCTTGGTGAAGCCATGCTGGCTGTCTCGGATCACCTCTTTATCTCGTATGTGCCTTAACACAGCTTCTGTTAGGATCTGCTCCATGATCTTCCCATGCACAGAGGTAAGACTTGCTGGCCTGTAGTTCCCCGGGTGTTCCTTTCTCCCTTTCTTAAAAATGGGAGGAATGTTTCCCTTTCTTCAGTCATCGGGGTGACCTGCGGAATCAAACTGTAACCCAAGTAAGATTACAAAGCAGGTATGGTTTATTCAGTGCTGCGCAGACACCGGGTGCAAGGGCGATAGATCGGCCTAACTTGCACACCACCTGCTAAAATCGTGCTACAGATATAGGCTGAACTAATACATAATAGTTTTCCTGGAATTTGGATACTTACTCATTTCACCCCTGACAGTTCGTTAGCATGCAGACCCTCCCCTCTTGCACATGCATAGTGGGTCGTGGGATGAACATTTGTTCTTTTCCTCCCGAAGGCTTCTGACCTTGCTGTAAACTTCTGACCTTTCGGGGGACATCCCCCCAACTGGTTTCTTCTTGCCCTGTGGACATCTGATCACCTCCCTGCCAAATGTCCTCGGGCTGTTCTCAAACACTTATCTTAATGGCCTTTGTACCCCTCACTGTTCCAGACCTAGTGTCTGCCATCTCTTATTTTCTAATGAACTCTACATTCTTGCTTCTATAACCTATCTCTAACTATTCCCCTTCACCCCCTTTATTCTCAGTCACTGTGAAGCCTTCTTGCCTTTTTACTTTCACTTGTGGGGCCCTTCTCCCCTTTCAGGGGACTTCACCAGACATCCATGATTTTTCAAATATGATGGAGCAGCTTGGCAACCACATCAGCCATCACTTTCAGAACCCTAGGATGGATATCATTTGGCCCCATGGACTTAGATACATTCAGTTTCTTGTGGTGGATTCGGACTTTTTGCACCATTATAGTGGGACAGAAACCACTCCCCACACCCTCTCCTAGAGGCTCACGGTCCTGGCAGACATGGGAAGCCTGACCACCCATGAAGAGGCAAAGCACTCATAGAGTACCTCAGCTTTTTCTATGTCTGAGGAAGCCAACTCCTCATTACCTTTCATTAGAGGGGGAACATTCTCCTTGGCCTGTCTTCTGCCTATGTACCTGTAGAACCCCTTCTTGTTACCTTTCACATCCTTCGCCAAGTTCAGCTCCATCTGTGCCTTGGCTTTCCTAATCCAGTCTCTACACACACGGACAACCCTATATTGCTCCCAGGATATACAACCCTGCTTCCACTTTCTTACATTTCCCTCTTTTCTCTCAGTTTAAGCTGCAGATCCTTGCACATCCATGATGGATGTCTGCCTCCCCTGCTTGACTACTTCTGCTGGGGGATGGAGAGCCGTTGCGCTTTCAGAAGGGTGTCCTTAAAGAGCTGCCAGCTCTGTTCTGTGCCCATGCCCCTAAAGACAGTTTCCCAGGGGATCCCACACAGCAGTTCCTTGAGCAAGCCAGAAGTTTGTTCTCCTAAAGCACAGGGTCCTACCTCTGCTTTTTGCCAGGCCTGCATTCTTCAAGATGACAAACTCCACCAAGGCATGGTTGCTACAGCCCAGGCTGCCTCCAATCTTAACCCTTCTATTGCACTCCTCTGGATTAGTGAGCACCAGGTCCAGTAAGGCTTCACCTCAGGTTGGTCCATCTATTACCTGGATCAGGAAGTTTTCCTCAACAAACTCCAGGAATCTCCTGGGTTGTGGCACTCTCCATGCCACTATCCCAGCAGATATCCAGGTGGTTGAAATCCCCCACAAATTCGACAAATTCGACACGGAAGAACTTCTTCCGACTATTCCCCATCGCTCTCCCTCCCATACTTTACTCTGGACCAGTAGATCCGGAAAACGAACCAAACATTTTCCCTCCTGATGATACGTGGAAGGGAGCGGGAAAGAAAAATTTTTCTACAGCATACTACGGTGCTTTAAAGCAGTGCAGAAAAGCAGCCACATCACAGGGTGATGCTGATACATTGCCTTTCCTGTGGTGTATCATGCAGTTCAGCTCCCACAGTGGGAATCCCTGCCTTATGAGGCGGTAAAAGAGCTAAGGAAGTCAGTGAGAGATTATGGAATTCAGTGCCTAAACCTATTATCTTTTGCTTGCAATCAGCGACAGTTATGTCGTGACCCCTCATGACTGGAAAATGTTGTTACAAACGATCCTGTCTCCATGCAATACACCATGTTTATGACTGAATACTGAGAACAGGCTACCATCCAGGCTATGAATAATTTGAATAACTTAAACCACATGGCATGGAGGAACTCATGGGCGAGGGGGTCCGGGCAACACTTCAGGCCCAGCTACAGATGCACAGGCAATGCCTTCAACAAGTTAAGACTCTGGTGTTGCATGCTACCCGTCGGATACCTGATACAAATTCATCTCATGCCTCGTTTACATCAGTCAAGAAGGGAGCTGCTAAGCCCTACGTCAAATTTTGTGACCGTTGACAAAATATGCTAGAGAGACAAGTGGAAAGTCAAGCCGCCTGGGATGTTTTGCTTAACTCCCTGTTGCTGCACAGCCCTACAGTCTGCCGAGAAACGGGAAGAAGAGTACGAGACCACGCGCTCTGACAACAAATATGATCCAAAATCGGTTGGCCAGTGCCTGGCCAGCTCACTCAGACCAGTCACCACCGGCAGCAAGACACTTCAAGAAGTGGTTCTCTGGCATGGGACTGCTACACAATGGCAGTCAGATGTACATGTTGCCGATGGATCACCTCAAACTGTAGAACTCACTGTGGTAGCTCAAGATTTTCAAATTTATGTAGTACCAAAACAATATATAACTGACTCCTTGTACGTTGCAGGTATCATTCAGCAGACTGAAGGATCTTTTCTTAAGTAAGTTAACAACCCTGCTTTGTTTGCACAGCTCAAGCAAGTTTTACATTATGTCTCTCACCGTACTTTCTTATTTTATCATGCATATTTGGACACACACTGTGCTGCCTGGTCCTATAACTGAGGGCAACTGTAAAGATGATCAAGCTGAAGTAGCTTTTGCTACCCTCAATTATTTCAGCAAGTGCAACTCTCCCATCAGTTTTTCCATCAGCACTGGAGAGCCATACAAACAATTCCAACTGACAGTGGCTCAAGCCCATAAACACTGGTTATCTGCTTATGCTGCTGTCGGCATCCCACATACTATAAAAACGGATAATGGACCTGCTTATACTTTTAAGGCCATTCAAACAAGAAAACTTGTGAAAGAAGGTATATAAGTGATGTGAGAACTTGTAATAAAGGATTTGGATCGTTCACATCTGAGTCAGTGCATCAGACGCTGCAGGCAGCCAGCTTTTCCATGGGAATATTGTTGGGGACAGTGTCAAAGGCTTTACTGAAGTCCAGGTAGACTACATCAACAACATTACCTTCATCTGCTAAGCAGGTCATCTTGTCATAGAATGAAATCAGGTCTGTCAACCAGGATCTACCATACCAAGATCTGTTACGGAACTT